TTGAGTAGAGACTAGAGAGAGACTGGAGTGGAGACTAGGGTTTTTTAGTTGGGTTTTTGGTTGGTTAGCGGTTACGGGTTTGGAATTTTGGATATTAATTTTAAGGAAAAATCTTCTTTTAACCCAAAGTTTTACTCCAACTTATTTTTAAACCCACCTACTTTCATTATGATCCATACACCCAAAGTACAACACCCACTTATTTATAAACCCAAAGTATCAAATACACCATATTTATATACTGTATCCAAAAAATAAAAGATAAATCTTGAAATTACCCTTGTTCTTCTTCTTCCTCCCTAATAACTACCCAGGGCTCAACTCTCTCTTTCTAATTATCTCCATCTTTCTAGTTCTCCTCCCACTAAAAAAACCTAAAAATTCAAGGGTTTTGATCTCTTGTAATGGCGTCCAATATCAACTTGCAGGTTTCTCTTCGCTAGATCTTTTGTTGAAGGGGGCAGTGGCAGCGGCCCTAGGACCACCCAGTCCACTCAAAGCCGACCAATAGAAAACGATATGTTAACATTTTAACATTTTGAAATTTTGGGTTTTTTGGCAATATCTTGTTAAAAATGTCTTGTTCTTATAAATTGATGGATTCTTATCAAGCTTATGCTTCAGGAAAGAGTATGTGCATAACAATTTTGCTCATATATATCTATGTTTTGGTGACTAGGTTGATGCATAGAAGGTGTTTGATGGAATGACAAAAGGGATATAGTTATTTGGACCACAACGATTAGCGGTTATGCCATATTGTTGTTGGTTGAGGAGGCAATAAAGGTGGTTGATGAAATGTCCAAGAGAAGTTTGGTTTTGTGGACCGCCGTAATCTTAGCCCATCGGTATGCCATCCTACGCCCTCCGGTTGCTCCTCACCATTTTCTATTGTCGCCAACACCTAACGCAATGCATAGCTACCTCTCAATCAGAAACGATTCGTCAATGCACGTACACTAACTTTCCAATCAAATACATGAGAGAATCCTCCACTCTTGGCATTCGATCAGATCTTAGCATTGTTGTCACATTGCAACCCAAATGGCAAATCAACTACAACCTGCAATATGATGTACCAAGTAGTATCTAATGTATCGTGTTGTATGGAATTTTCTATATTATGTATATATAGATGATTTGTGTGTATATTGTATCAAATGCACTATCCAATGTATCATGCTGTATCAAATTTTCTATTAGAAATTTATCAGTGTATCTAGTAGAAATGTATCTAGTAGAAATATATACAATGTTTCGATAGTGGTGATTTTGGATTATTTCCATTCAATCTTCATGGATTATTTTCATTCAATGTTATGTGCTTGAGTTTAGTGGTTGATAGATATGAATATTTGTAATGAATTGATGCACTGATTGAACTGAAGAAGTTTTAATGGTAGGTTATGGTAACTACAACATATTGGGCCATATTATGTTTCGTGTGTCCAATTATCCACCTTGACGAGGGGTCCCGCTTAATTTTCTAGCTTTTGATAAAGTATAGCACTTTATGAGAAAGTATAGCAGCTTATTGATGAAGTATAGCATCTTATGGTAAAGTATAGCACCTTATGGCAATAGTATAGCACCTTATCGATAAAGTATAACACCTTATGGTCTCTGGAAATTCAGCAACTTATTGCGTTGCGATAAACCAAATAAGTTTTGTTAGGGCCATGCAAACACTCGATGACCTACGTTATGTGTCGCGTGACCAAGTATCCACCTCGACGAGGGGTCTTCGCTTAATTTTAAAGCTTTTGGCAAAGTATAGCATTTTATGGGAAAGTATAGCACCTTATGGCAAAGTATAGTCCTATGTGGTAAAGTATAGCACTTTATTGGTAAAGTATAGCACCTTATTGGCAAAGTATAGCACCTTATGCTCTCTGAAAATTCTGCACCTTAAGTTGTCTAAAACCAAATTAGTTTTTTTTTCACCGCAACGCAAACACTTGATGACCTACGTTACGTGTTTATTGACCAATCATCCACCACGACGGGGGGTCCTCGCACAATTTTGAAGCTTTTGGTAAAGTATAGCATTTTATAGGAAAGTATAGCACCTTATGGCCAAAGTATAGCACTATATGGCAAAGTATAACACTTTATTGGTAAAGTATAACACCTTATTAGCAAAGTATAGCACCTTATGCTCTCTGAAAATTCTGCACCTTAAGTTGTCTAAAACCAAATCAGTTTTTTTTACCGCAACGCAAACACTCGATGACCTACGTTACGTGTTTATTGACTAATCATCCACCGCGACGGGGGGTCCTCGCGCAATTTTGAAGCTTTTGGCAAAGTATAACACTTTATGGGAAAGTATAGCACCTTATGGCCAAAGTATAGCACTATATGGTAAAATATAGCACTTTATTGACAAAATATAGCACCTTATTGGCAAAGTATAGCACCTTATGATCTCTGAAAATTCTACACCTTATTGGCAAAAAAAAACTGATTTGGTTTTAGACAACCTAAGGTGCAGAATTTTCAGAGAGCATAAGGTGCTATACTTTGCTAATAAGGTGCTATACTTTGTCAATAAAGTGCTATACTTTACCATATAGTGCTATACCTTGGCCATAAGGTGCTATACTTTCCCATAAAGTGCTATACTTTGCCAAAAGCTTCAAAATTAAGCGAGGACCCCCCGTCACGGTGGATTATTGGTCAATAAACACGTAACGTAGGTCATCGAGTGTTTGCGTTACGGTGAAAAAAACTGATTTGGTTTTAGACAACTTAAGGTGCAGAATTTTCAGAGAGCATAAGATGCTATACTTTACCAATAAGGTGCTATACTTTACCAATAAAATGCTATACTTTGGGTTATAGTGATATACTTTGGCCATAAGGTGCTATACTTTCCCATAAAGTGCTATACTTTGCCAAAAGCTTCAAAATTGAGCGAGGACCCCTCGTCGAGGTGGATAATTGGTCACGCGACACATAACGTAGGCGAGGACCCCTCGTCGAGGTGGATAATTGGTCACGCGACACATAACGTAGGTCATCGAGTGTTTGCATGGTACTAACAAAACTTATTTGGTTTATCGCAACGCAATAAGTTGTTGAATTTACAGAGACCATAAGGTGTTATACTTTATCGATAAGGTGCTATACTATTGCCATAAGGTGCTATACTTTACCATAAGATGCTATACTTCATCAATAAGCTGATAAGGTGCTATACTATTGCCATAAGGTGCTATACTTTACCATAAGATGCTATACTTCATCAATAAGCTGTTATATTTTACCATAAAGTGCTATACTTTATCAAAAGCTAGAACATTGAGCGAGGACCCCTCGCCGAGGTGGATAATTGGACACACGAAACATAATATGGCCCAATAGGCTGTAGTTACCACAACCTACCATCAAAACTTCTTCAGTTCAATCAGTGCATCAATTCATTACAGATATTCATATCTATCAACCACTAAATCAAGCATATAACATTGAATAAAAATAATCCATGAAGATTGAATGGAAATAATCCAAAATCACCACTATCGAAACGTCATAACATTGAATAAAAATAATCCATGAAGATTGAATGGAAATAATCCAAAATCACCACTATCGAAACGTTGTATACATTTCTACTAGATACATTTCTACTAGATACACTGATAAATTTCTAATAGAAAATTTGATACAGCATGATACATTGGATAGGGCATTTGATACAATATACACACAAATCATCTATATATACATAATATAGAAAATTCCATACAACACAATACATTAGATACTACTTGGTACATCATATTGTAGGTTGTAGTTGATTTGCCGTTTGGGTTGCAATGTGACAACAATGCTAAGATCTGATCGAATGCCAAGAGTGGAGGATTCTCTCATGTATTTGATTGGAAAGTTAGTGTACGTGCATTGACGAATCGTTTCTGATTGAGGGGTAGCTATGCATTGCGTTAGGTGTTGGCAGCAATAGAAAATGGTGAGGAGCAACCGGAGGGCGTAGGATGGCATACTGATGGGCTAAGATCATGGCGGTCCACAAAACCAAACTTCTCTTGGACATTTTATCAACCACCTTTATTGCCTCCTCAACCAACAACAATATGGCATAACCGCTAATCGTTGTGGTCCAAATAACTATATCCCTTTTGTCATTCCATCAAACACCTTCTATGCATCAACCTAGTCACCAAAACATAGATATATATGAGCAAAATTGTTATGCACATACTCTTTCCTGAAGCATAAGCTTGATAAGAATCCATCAATTTATAAGAACAAGACATTTTTAACAAGATATTGCCAAAAAAACCCAAAATTTTAAAATGTTAACATACCGTTTTCTATTGGTCGGCTTTGAGTGGACTAGGTGGTCCTAGGGCCGCTGCCACCGCCCCCCTTCAACGAAGGATCTAGCGAAGAGAAACCTGCAAGTTGATATTGGATGCCATTGCAAGAGATCAAAACCCTTGAATTTTTAGGGGTTTTTTTTAGTGGGAGGAGAACTAGAAAGATGGAGATAATTAGAAAAAGAGAGTTGAGCCCTGGGTAGTTATTAGGGAGGAAGAAGAAGAAGAAAAAGGGTAATTTCGGGATTTATCTTTTATTTTTTGGATACAGTATATAAATATGGTGTATTTGATACTTTGGGTTTATAAATAAGTGGGTGTTGTACTTTGGGTGTATGGATCATAATGAAAGTAGGTGGGTTTAAAAATAAGTTGGAGTAAAACTTTGGGTTAAAAGAAGATTTTCCCTAATTTTAAACTAGTACCAATGGTGTTTGTGAACCAGAACAATCATCAGCTACAAAATTAATGTTACAACATGTGAGCACATTAATTCCTTGTATGCTTTTGTACAGAGGACCCTCTTTCTCAAAAATTTGCCTGATATTAGAAACACAACGAATCTCATTACTTTTAAAATGATCTTATTAACATGTAACATGATGTGATCATGTTTGTTTATTGATACTGAAGTTTGAAAACCTCACTTATGACTATAACACCAGGCAAAACTTCGCCTTTATATACAACTTTTCCTAACCATACGCTGGAAAAAAATCTTCACAATTCACTGTTGTCGAGTACTAGGCGCAGCTCTGTTGACAGGTATCAATGCAAGGTCCCACATCAATCTCCTCTGCCATATACACAACAAGCATCAAAAACATACACAAGAAGAAGAAAAATCAACGAGCACAACTAAAATTTACTTGTACCTGGATCAAGTCGAAAGCATGAGAGTTTGATACAAGAAGAGATGCAATCAGAATCAATCACATTCAAATCGTTCGTGTTCATATAGTTGATGTAGCAACTGATATAACAAGCCCACCTGGGATTTTTATCTTTACATGACTCCACATAGCATGAAGTGTAATTCGAAGCTGAGATTTGTCCAGCAAACAAAAGTAGAAGAAGAGCTAGACTTAGAGTTTCGTGATTTGCCTTCATTTTCCTTTCTATGAGAAATATGTAACAAGACGAGTCTCTTTGTTTGTGTTTTATAGGAGACAACTCTCAGTACAAGCATACATATTGTGTGAGTACTTGAGTACAAGTAACTGTTTACGTATTTGCAAGTGCTACATTGTATTATGTTAATCAACTTAGCATGAATTGCTCTAAATTATGGAATTAAATGACGTATAAATGAGTGATCCTCCTCCTGTTTTTCTTATAAAGGAAATTCCCGGTTTTCTAGCTCATCTCGGTGTGTTTTGCCATTTTAATAGTCATATATATTATAAAACAAGTTGTTCTGCTGTTTCTTCTTTTTCTCCTTCTGAAGTGAATTTTCCGAATTGCATAAACATCCTAATTTTAATTTAATTGTCAGATTTTCTAGCTGACGAACACTTACGAATCAAAAAAATGCTCGAGGATAGTCTTTCCATGCTATCTTCTGTTTGCATAAGCACTGCTTTTTCATCTGACTGCCATATTTTCTAGCTGATGGAAACTTAAGAAGCAAAATTTTCTTTTTCACGGGGATAACTTTTCCATACTATATATCTTCAGTTGGATTATATTCCCTTCACTATGAAAAATTGACAACGTCTCAATATTGGTTAATTTGTTCTTTTATATATCAATTAAAAATAATAACAATGTAACTGAATGTCATCATTGTCATCTTATCTCTGTGTTATTGTAATGCAAACATATTTTTTTTATATCATGCTTTTTAGGCTTAAAATAGGACTGGCAGTTATGAGTCTCACATTGATTTCGTGTGGGAATCTCACTCCATTCTTGTTTGGACTGGATAATGGTTGGAACAGGCCTAATCAACTATAAAGTTAAACAGTTTTCACGCGAAAAGTTGCTACTTCAATTCAAAGATTTTTATCAAATGGACTGAGGATGTTTATTCCCACATGCAATCTTTATGATTTAAATGTTGCTATGTATTTATGACGATGTATTTGGCCATGCATTAGTATGAATAGATGAGTGGATTAAAGCAGGGTAATTCACTCATAATTATAAGCTTTGTGCAATATTATTATTATTATTATCTATCTCAAACATTGTGTTGCTACACCGAAACATTGTATTTTATAATAAAAATTGAATGTTATAATTTTGTGCTAGCAGATCCCCGCAATCCAGTTTGCTTTTTATGGCCAAAACCTGCACATTAATTGAGTTTTCGATTTAAAATGTGCATCTTGTTACAACCGAAAATTTGGTGCCTATCTTAAAATCTTTATCATGAAATTTAGGAGTAATATTCTTTTCTAGCAATCTAATATATTTCACAATCAAGACGAGACCACCAGCGGGATTTGTGGCAATTATCGTTACATTGGTTGACGCAAGCTTTTCCATGTCAAGCCCATCTGTCATAAATCACAACGAGTGTCAAAAATAAGCAGAAGTAAGCAAATAACTACATCCACATATGCATCTATATACATAAGTACATACCAGGTTTGAGATTAAAGCATGATGATTCGACAAAGTCAACAAGGCATTCGGCTCGGTCACCAATTATACGAGCAATTACTTTGACAACTCCATCGCCCAGCGCACAGCTTCCCTCAGAAGCAAGCTTACAGAGGAACTTCGGGAGTCTGGTCAGTGCACCACTGGACAACATATGTTGTAGCACAAAAGTCTAAAACAAATGACTGCCTAAATAACTGAAGCTGAGAGAGAGATAGGACAAAAGGCGATCATTGCCGCTGGGCTTGATCCTTAAAGTACTCTTAGTCCTGCGAAGAAAGAACAATTCCTGAGTCTGGGGCAAGCAAACCCCAGGAGAGTCAGAAAACTCCCAACAAGCATGTAAAGTGAAGAAATTATGCGCGTGTAAGTGTAAGTGACATATAAAGAAAAGATAAATTCTAAATTTATAGTGATAAAATAAAAGGCTAAATCATAGAGATAAAAAATAATGTCCGTCACCAACACACAAGCATATTATACATATTTTAGATGTTATTTGAATTAGAGAAGAATATTTTCATGTATATAAATCGGTTCCCCGTAAACCGTCCCGGAAACACGACTTCAAGTCAGGTATTGGCCTTTTGGCCCTTGTATATATATAACTCGGGATATCAGGAATGCACAAGTGCCCGTTTATATATATATATATGTTATATTCTCCGTCTAATTCCCCTTTAATAAACCCCATGGTTTCTGTTTAATCTAAGTGACTGTGCATGAATTGTTGTGCACTAACCACAGAGTTACCGTGGAACAGCTTCCGTAAAACTATGAATGATAACCGTGACCAAGAACATGTCCAATCAAGAGGGGTGCATTGTCTAGTCGATGCTATAATAGTAATAGACAAGGAAAAAGCTCATATCGGGATATCGATATTGAGAGCATAACCATGCTATGAAAGCACGCTTATAAATCATATTATTGACAGAAGTCGTCTTCATGCACAGTCTAGCCTATTTGATGACTTTACTATAAGTTAAAAAAATTGGTAAGGGAACTAATATTTTTAAATGACAAAAAGAGAGAATTTGATAAATAATCACCTAATCCCTAAACAAAAATATTAATCCTAACCCTGAACCAAAAACATTAATCCAAACCGGCATAATTCCCACTTCTGGTATGCAAAACATCAAATCCTTCTCATAAGATAACAACTCTAATAAAAAGTCTCAGGCCCACAGAATCTCAGGCCCAATACAAAAAATTTATTTATTTTGCAACAGCTACATGATTTGAACACTGAACCTACATGTTACCATGTAAACATGCTAACCTCTACAATTTCTTTGCTAATATGACCAGGGAAAGGATAAAGAATATAGAAAAGTTTACACAGTCCAAATCTATTCCTTATGTTCCCTCTAGTTCTCGGCTATTTGTAACAAAGCTGTCGTCGTCAAAATTATCCAACTTTTTCCTACACAAATTAGGCTTGCAATAATTTGGTCATAGAGTTTTATTTATTTACAGCTCATGTCATCAAACTATTTACAGCTAATGCCATCAAACTATTTACAATGAATGCCATCAAACTATTTACAACTAATGCCATCAAACCAATACTTCAAAAGGGGGAAAATTTGCAAAATAGTCCGTTTTTGCTAATTATTTAGCAAAATAGACCGTTTTTCTAAATAATTAGCAAAATAGACATCTTTTTGGCCAACAGGTCAAAAATAGGTCTATTTTGCAAAACAGCTCAGAAAACATACGGGATTAGTAGTCCCGTATGTTTTAATCACGGATTAGTGAACTCAGAAAATTTCACAAAACATTGAGATAAACTCAGAAAACATACGGGACTACTATATTTTCTGAGTCACTAATCCGTGATTAAGTTGGCTCTAAACATACGGGACTAGTAGTCCCGTATGTTTTCTGAGTCTTGTTTTTCAAAATCAACCTCTTAATTATTTAGCAAAACGGTCTATTTTGCTAAATAATTAGCAAAAACGGACTATTTTGTAAATTTTCCCTTCAACAGGAGATTTACATATCCAGCCAATTATCCTTCGTTTGCTGATCAAATGGCTTGCAGATTGTCCAAATGCTGTCCATTGCATTCTAGATTCACCAACACATCTGTAGGCGTCGAAAATTGCCTATAGGTCTCTACGAACAGCTCAGTGTTAAGGAATGACGATGAACGTCACTATCCGGTTCACGGGAGTTCGATTGACGTCGGTGAACGCTTGAAGTGAATCGACGAACTACGTGAGCTGACAGAATTCCGGAATAACGAAGGTGCGGGCTAATCGGGAGCCCCGTAATGTTTACAAAGGGAACAATGCCCTTCGTGTCTCATTCATTCCACAGATAATCCAACCATTGGAGCTGATAGAACTCCTTGTCGGCTTTCCAACGCATTTAGAATCACTCAAATCCGGGTTCAGACGAAGAAGTTACAGCGAAAACGGTCAAACGGGCATTGAAAACGTCTCAGAGCTGAACCGAGGCACCTACGGTGTCTCGGCCAAGTCAAGACACCCCAAGGGTGTCTCGGCCAAGCCAAGACACCCCTAGGGTGTCTCAGCGCGGATTTGGGCCCTTTAAGTGGTTTTAACCGCTTCGCAACCCCTCATGCCTATAAATACAAGCCTTAGGCCTCATTTTTTTGGGATCTGGAGTTTTGGAGAATTGGCGAAGCCCTGCCGGAGTGAAGAGTGATCGAGCACTTCAACGCAAGAGAGTTTCTTCGTCAGATCTACATCACCCGTACCCGATCCTTAGTATTATCCCGTTGTGGTAATACTAAGAAGAGCAAATATCTCGCTTTTATCGAGATAGGCGCTTCAAGTTTCTAGATCTCCTCGCGGATCGACGAAGCTCTGGATCAGATCTGATTGCCAGGTAGTCCACGGATATCGACGTCCCCGTCACAGGCTAAAGACCCACGCAAGCAAGAGACGACGAACGGATCTTGTGTTTATTTTCAAGAAAGTTGTAATTTTTATTTCTTTGTTATTTGAATTCATTTGTAACGTTCGAAGTTTTAATGAAATCAATGACTAAGGTAACTTTCGACGGAAACAACATCTTACTTATTTAATAGAGCTTGTCTCAAATCCAAATGCTTCATCGACTCGGATGCTTCAACAACACTTATTAGATGAATATGAGCAACAACAATATTAACAACAACAAAAGATGTCTGATTTAGAGTCACAAGTGAAAGCTATGCATGGACTTTTTTTAAGGCAACAATCTAATACTTCATTGACTCCTCAAACTCGAGAATATGTGCAGGACTAGGTAATTATTTTTTTATAAAATCTCTTATATACTTTTATGATTGACTACTTGCACTAGAGAAAATATGGATTTTACTTAATAGATAATATTTGCTTAATTGATATTTCTTAATTATGTGATTTTTTTAATATTTCAGGCTATCCATGCAAGATTAGGAGAGGGGGTAGCTCGAGTCTTCTTTTTAAAAATGATTAGAGATTAAATGATGTTTCTTTCTCAGACTTTTATTTTAATTTGCTTTAGATAGTTTCACGTATTTTTCT